AAAAGAACCTTCAAATTTATTCTCAAGCACAAAAATTTCAAACTATTAACCAATGGAAAAGGCTTGGTACAACTGCTACTAAATTTAGTAACTCCGACAGGTCTAGGTCATAGTCAGAGGTCAACTTACTAAATCTAGTATTCTTGGTGCGCAAAGNTCATGAACACAAACTTGCGATAAGAAGACACGACCCTCTTTCATTGATGTCCGTGCATGAGGACCAAGAAGGACATACGTTCAATCTAGACAACTTTCACATTCTGGATCACGCAACCACAAGGCATTCAAGAGAAGTCCTGGAAGCATGGCATTCATCCACAAACTCAATCAATAGACACATCGAACTGGACCCAGTTTACAATCTGCTGAGGCACAAGGTGTCCAACTTATCCACGAAACAGAAGAGGAGTTGACCGGTTCAATGCCCACCGGCCCATGACCAGAAACCCAAAAACCATGCACAAAAGAACCTTCAAATTTATTCTCAAGCACAAAAATTTCAAACTATTAACCAATGGAAAAGGCTTGGTACAACTGCTACTAAATTTAGTAACTCCGACAGGTCTAGGTCATAGTCAGAGGTCAACTTACTAAATCTAGTATTCTTGGTGCGCAAAGGTCATCTCTATAGCAATCATCAAAGGTCAAGTTACCAAATTTAGTACCGTCTTCAAGGTCAACAGCGAGAACAATTCTCAAGGTTGGAATACTATAAATAAAGACAAGTACAGGGATCATTACCAACGCACTGACGATGTCACCCCGGCTGGTGATGAAACGTTTGCGATGTAAACGCCAAGCTCAGCGAACACAAGACCTCACAAACCATCAACCTGAGCTACAAACAACACCCATATTCAAATCTGTTGAAGAATGATTAGTCTTTGTTGGACCACATCAGCGGAGCGTAGAACCTTCGCGTGGTGAGCGGAATTCGAACAGTCAAGCTTTAAGCTGAGAGTCAAAATCTTCACTCTTTGAACTAAATGATCGATGGAGGAGAGCATTTTAAATCATTTTTTTCATACCTTTTAATGGAGTTGATAGACAACAGGTTATGGGAATTCATCGTACGCCGTTGGTCACATCCCATGCAAAAATTCCATAGCATAGCACTGGATAGCAAACGGTGGTGTCTCTTTTTGACAATCCATGAAAAAGTTGATTCAGGAATGCAGTGATGCAAAATCAACCTTGTAGTACAACAATTTATAAACTTTTCATATTAGGAAAGTTTGCATGCTGCTATCTTCCATTCCATATTGATTGCAATAAGTCCGACTCACTTTGAGGATTGACGTCTCCACTGTGTTACGTAATAACAAATCCGAAGGCAACGCAGTCATATTGCGCAAATCTGTGAAAAGATGGAAACGACCCGCAAGAGAAGATTTGAGAATATCGAAATTCCAACAGCAATAAAAGGCAAACAGCTAAGGTGCTCACGAGCACAAACTGAATACCCGATTCATCGCCTGATTATTACTCCTGCTATCTCACTGAGTTACCGGTCTTTACACTCTTTGAACACACATACACACATGCATAAAACAATGACGAAATTTGTGTTTTTAAACGACATAGACCGCAGCGTAATAAGACTTTGAAATCCTGTTTGAGTAAGCCGGAAAAATAACTGTGGAACAGTGGAGTCTAAGTATCCAGGTGTGGTGTGGTTTGCACATTTCAAAGTGCAAAGTGCTGATACACGGCTGGCAGGAGCCTGTCCCTGCACTCACCCTCTGTGGTGATCAGCTGGAAGTAGTTGAGAGGTTTAAGTACCTCAGGAGCTTGATCGCAGCTGGTATTGGTGTTGGAAAGTAGATCAGATCATGAAAAGCGAAAGCTAGCGCAGCTTTCGCCTATCTCCGACACCTGGGGCGCCACCATGACATCCGACTATCCCTTACGGGAAGGGTGTACAACACCGCAGTTCGTAACGTTTTGCTCTACGGTTGCGAAATCTGGCCTCTCCGAGCAGAGGATGCTAACTGACTTTCTGTATTTGACCACCAATATCTCTGAAGCATTGCTCGTGTCTGGCGGGAACGTTGGGTGAGCAATGACGAGATCCGTCGCCGTGTGTTGTGTGCGGATAGCAGTTCTCTATCAGAAGTCATCATCATCATCATCGTACAACGAAATACAGTGAAGCGAACTTCACTGATCGCTTCCAAACTTGTAATGCATACAAGGTTAGTGGTAAAATTTAGGGTGGACAGGAAGTAGACCTACTCTGAGGGGGAGGGATGAAGGAAAGCAATTATGGTCAACACACAGAGCGCACAATCGAACTTTACACACATACCGTTTCAAGCATTCTGACCTGATAACAAACGACAACAAGAACGCCACTGCTGTCGCTTCGCTCCCATATCCTTCAATGTATTCAATCAACCGGTTGTGGAGTCTTTCGGACCGCAACCTGGAAGGCGAGAGATACCTACTGTACCTAATGACCCTGTGCATTTCTTCATGCCTCGACACCACGCGGTTTCCTCCAGCCCCGATTAGCTACAGTGAATAAGGCGCGGTGCGGCAGACGACAGCTGGGCATACGCAACACGTGCCCTAGCCAGCGAAGTCCACTAATTTGAATTCGATGTGCTAGCAGGTTTATCCCTCATAGACTCCCAAACACACGGCGGCTTACCTCTACGTTACTAACCCGTTCCCTCCATCCAATGTGGGCGAAACTGCGTAAACACCGATAATCGAAAACTTCCGGGCGACGGATATCTTCTAATCGCAAATTCAATGTCTCATAACCATAAAGCAGAACTGAACGAACGCTAGCGCAATATACACGACCTTTTAACTTCAGTGAAACATCGCGTCTATGCGAGAGGCGTTTCAGTCCTGCATATGATGCTCGAGCCTTGGAAATGCGGGCGTTTATGTCTTTTACTGCGCTATCGCCATCGGTCACGCAGCTACCTAAGTAGGAAAAGCAATCCACCGTACCTAATTCCTGACCATTTAGTTTCAGAGCGGGCGTAGGCGACAAGCAGTCCTGCAGCATTACTTTGCACTCTGAAGGTGCGAAGCACATATCGAATGCGGCAACTGCACTTCTTGGTCTATCAAGTGCGCTTTGCGCGTCCGCCATACATTCGAACATACACACGACGTCATCGACNTCATCGACTTATTCTAAATTGCACAGCTTTTCACCACCCGCACATTCAACACCTACGTTTAGGAGACCACTTAGTGCATTCTCCAGGATTTCATCTACGACGAAATTGAACAGGAACGGTGAGAGAGGGCATCCTTCACGAACACCACAACTGGTGACGAATGACCTACTTAGTTCATCATAGACCCTTACACGACCGAAGGTCCGTGAGTACAGTAACCTCAGTAGGTTAATGTACTTCTGGGGCATTTCTTTTCGAAGGGAGCCCATCAGAACTTCGCGGTCACATGAGTCGAAGGCTCTTTCAGATCAAGGAACACTGCGATCGTTGGTCAGCGGTGGGTGTGACGCAGCTCACAGACCTGCCGTAACGTGAAAAATTGATCAATACATTCACAGACAGGCCGGAATAAGGCTTGCTGTTCACGGATGCTGATCTCTCTTAAAGGAGTCAGACGACCAAATCATTGCGACATCCTTTCTTGAAAATGCGATTAATTAGTGATTCGCTCCAAGATGAAGGAATGCGCTAATGCGTCCAAATGTTGCGCAGTAAGGTAGTAATACAGTTTACGAGGTTATCGATCCCCGTCTTGAAAAGAGTGGGAAGAAGCTCATCCGGTCCTGCTGTTTTCTCTCACTTCAGAGCTTGAATGCAAGACCGAACTTCTGCTTCCCTTGGAGGATTGCATGCCAATGCCCACGGAGCTTCAGTAGCGAATGAGGCAACCTGGTTAGCACTAGGCCAGTTGAACTGTTCGCTGAAGTATTCTGCCCAGCGATCGAGCCGTTGATTTCTATTCATTGTAGTTTGATGCTGAATAGTCGTGTATCATCGGTTTCAGTTGGTTCATTCGTCACACAACTTATAAATGGTTTCAATAACTCTTGTTTTAAAGTCGATAGTAAGATTCTAGACGACTCTCTTCATCCACTGCACCTTCATTTAATCTCTTTTTCACCTATCACGTTTTGGCAGCTACTCTCTGGTATTCATATTTATGAGAATTCCAGGACTTGGCCAGATGCCTAACCAACAAGGAACAGGTCAATATTGAATGACATCAGAAACGTGCAAACAAACCAAACTTGAGTGAAATCGTTCATGTTGCATGTTTTTTCAATTTGTGAATAGCAGTGTGTAACTGTGGCTGAAATGTTGGTATATAAGCCTGCACAAGTAAGTTATACCAACATAAAATGTGTTGCGCGTGCTGCTCGATAGGTAGATAGTAACTGGGTGGAAGAGGGCTGCAGGGGATCGGAATAGGACCTGGCCTGAGCTTACACAAACCGTGACCAGTACACTCGGTTATCTTGAATTTCCTGGTCGGGGACCGCGTGAGTAAACTAACCAATGATTGGACACACTGAATGATATGACTGGGCATCGTAAACAGTGGCGCCTCCTTCAAACAGATTTAATTCAACTGCTTTTTAGGTTTTGATTCGTGGCAATGTTCTTAGTCTCAAATCTTTGCATTTGCTCACTGATCAACTAAATGGCTAATTGAAATACATTTCATCAAAACAGAAAGAAGATAAATGTCGCGAGATGTTAACATTTCGTTTAATCTTCTCAGTCGCTGACTTGAAAAACAAACAGGCACATATATAGCACATTGGATTAATCCATTGTGGTGAACAAACGTGTACAAGCATAAAATGATTACTAAATTTATAAGTAGAAGGTCAGCTCCACGGCAATTGGATTGCTTGTATCAAAAACTGTGCGCACAGGGTCGGGTGATGTGATCGAATAAACATTTAAGCATTTAATTGAAATACAACCAATACCGTGTCATGACTGTAGATGATCGAGAAGAGCAAAACTTAACTTGGATATGAACAACGGGCTCTCGCTAGAATCCGTTTTCTACTTTCTCCACCATTATGTATGGATCCCGTAGCCAGTAAAAATTTGCATTTTGTTTACATTGTAAGTTCGCCAAGCATCGCAACACCCTAAATGTTCCTGTGCAATTAGATATTGCTTATCATGTGTGCTTGATAGGGACAATCCGTTGTTTGCTCCCGGTTAAAGAAGCCGTCTCCGTTATGAGTCTGAGGGTTGTACGTTAGCCTCCTAGGAGCGTCTCTGATCCGGCTAGAGATCCTACTTGAGTGTTAAAGCCGCCAGCAAACACTACGACTTTCGTTGGACAAACTCAGGCAGTAGATAGAAGTCACGTAGTGGTTATAGTTCACTTCCAGCGACCTGCCAGGACATAAGTAAATAGCTGCAACACTTCCGTCCAACCTGTACGGAACCGTCAAGACGTATGGTGTACAGTCGACGACTGACAGAATCCAATCGAGCAGACAGCGGTTACCCGCGACACCTAACGCGATCCCGACAATGGCGAAACCGTGAGTGTCAGGCGCCATAGCACAAGACTGACGAGAAGTGATGTGACAGAATGGTTTCGGGTTTGAAGAACGTAGCGTGGTAATTGAAGCAAGGTCTTATCTGCGTGTCTTCGGAAGTACAGAATAAGTCTATAATTGAGGTTCAAGAGGTTCTACCCAAAGCAGCTTGTTCGCCGATATCATACAGTAAGCTGACAGTAAATGCAGTTATGCGAGGAACAGTTAGTCTCAGTTTCAGTTTGAACAACCATTAACCATGCACTTTCGTGCCCCGGTTTTGGTTACTGTCATTTGGCTGCCTATTCGGATGAAGAATAGGAGAAGAAAGGAGTCGGAAAGAAAATGGAGAAGCTCAGTGGACTGAGGTTGCAAAGAAATTGAGAAGATGCACGAACGCCACTGGTTGCTACACCTAGCCATATCATTCAGTGTCTCTAATCATCGGTTACGATCATCCCGAGGTCCCCAGCCAGGGAGCCTAACAGGACCTATGTGACCCAGTATCCTGGTCAGGATTTTCATATCCTCGTGCCAGGTCTTAGCTTGACCACCCTTGGCTTTATTCCACCCACTACCTGCCTCGGCGAACATCGCTCGCCGTGGCACCCTATTTGATAACATGCGTTACACATGCGCCAACCAACGTAATCTATGGAGGTCGACCACTTGGTAAATGCCAACCGAGCCTTTTGCATGCGAGCAGAAACTTCATCCATGATGGGCCCACCGAATGATGTACCTGCTCAAATAACAAAACTTATCCACCTGCTCTATTACTTCTCCAGTGAGAGTGAGGCTCGGTCCTGGACCGACCCAGTCTTGTAGTAACATTTTACACTTTGAAGATGCAAAACGCATACCGAATATGGCTACACTGGCATTCAAGCTGTCCGAAAAAGCTTGCAATTTACCTGCATCTTCAGTTAGTAGTAAAATGTCGTCTGCATACTTTAGATCAGACGGTCTGTCATAGGCGAGTAGATCGATGCCACTTTCCTCGCACGAGGAAAGGACTGTTTCCATAATCAAATCTATAACAAAGTTAAATAGAAAGGGGGAGAGAGAGCAACCCTGTCGATACAAAGAAGAACAGTTATCGGTTTGATGAATCAGGTAGCTGTTGATTTGTTTCCGCATTTATTATACTTTGAATGAGCAACCCTGTGGTGAGGAGCGAAAACAGGTCTCTCATGTTCTGAGAGTGGAGGGAACAAGTGAACAAATGCGAGGAAGGGTATTCCAAATAGCTGCCTGATACTTTTTAGAGCACAACATGTATACCGACTACCGTAACCGGAGACTTCGAATTATAACTCTCAGCCACAAGGCGTGGAAGCTCCTATCGACCTTTTGGTTTCGCTTTTTTCTCGCTTATGCGTTGTTTATCGGTCTACAGGTTGTGATCGATCGCATGGATCTGATGAGATAGATGAACATGGAGGAGGAAACACGTTAATGCCAGTGGAAGCACAGTTTGAGCGGGCGGCTGCTGCCAAATGAAAAAGGACGACCTCTTTCACTGACAGGAGGAAGCCCCAGACACACCGCTGCTACTTGCATCTAGTACGGTTTTTCAGTCCACTGCTCCGACCCGCGTCTGTTTGCCAGAGTGATCACAGATGGCCAAGGGAAAAGCAGCTGCCGTTCAATCACCTGGCTTCGAGATTAACTTCTGTCTGACCTCCAACCATTCACCTTTCGGGCATGAGTAAATCTGCGGCTGTGAAAGCCGTCTTGTACTGCTCATGATAGTACATAGGCTATCAAATCATGTGCAGTGCTGTCGTGAAATAGAATGCTCACTCCTATTCCGTCAGTACCCAGCTGTTCTCCTCTCAGCCTGCGCTTTTCAACTTCTTCACATAAGAACCAGGTCCAAGAAATGAAGCGAGGGCAAATTGGTGAGCTACACTTACCGATCAGACGAGTTAGACAATCGTTCAGACAATTGGGACATCCGGTCGGACTGATCAGAGCACAGAATGATCGCCGACATATTTCACACTGCACTTGATTCTCAGAGGACTGCTGCGGCACGTACGCAGGTACTGGGCGTTGGCAGCATGCACAAATATCATGCATTGCGCCTAGAAGTGAAAACAGTCGATAGTTAAGTAAAAAACCAACCTCGCTCCTGCCAACGGATATGACTTTCGTGGAAAAACATAACTATTGAATTTGGGCTGTCTAAAGACACCGCATAACCATATCTATTTTTAAACCTCAACTCGACTGTTTAACACAATAAACATTATTCCGTGAGAATGTTTGAAAACATTGTGGAACGCACCGATGGGTGGCATTCAAAATACGTAAAAAAAGATTTTCAATGATTTTATTCTCAATTCATAACATTCCATTCTGCGGTTTTCACACACCGCCTTGGTGCCTTGAGGATCAGGCTTTGGTTGGCCGAAGGCTTCGGTTGTGGATTCCTCAAGAAAATCATGAAACATTTTTCTTTAGAAAAATCATTGTGCTGTGATTTGATTGGCACACACTCTGGACTCATACGTATGATATACATATATATTTCATGGTAATTAGTATGCGGATGACTGAACAAAATTTCCCAGGAATCATACAACCGGTTTCGAGGTTCTTGTCGCTCGTCAGGAATTCGTAATCTTTTACCAGTCAGCATGTGTATCACATGAACACACGCATGAGTGACAGTGTCTAATCCCGAACTGCATTTTAACCCTTCTATTGACGAATTACCTGACCATCCGACGGAATACGTTCACCCCTTTCATTTGATTGAAGAAGTATGATTACAATTGTTGCAAAGCTAATTTGGTGTTTGATGACCGACAAATAGCACTGATCGGGTAGGTGCTTCATCCCTGTTGACGTTCGTCAATACGTATGATTATTTCCGCGATGAGAGTCGAACTGCAAACCTTCATTTCGGGATTCGGGATCTTGAGCTACACAGTCGGTGGTCAGAAGCTTGGAATGTTACGATATATTATATTTCACACTTGTTTGAGGACAGACTGTGCCAAGCAAATCATGGTACAATAATCTTTTTAAAATCGAAAAGCGTTCCATGATTGGCATGTTGGCGCAATATTGCCAGGTTGCCCAGACCAAGGCAGGGGAATTCTCTTGGGGAATTCACAGTCAGAACCTTCGGCTCACCAAAGCCTGACCCGCAAGGCAGCGGGCGGTGTGTGAAAACTGCAATCTACTGGGGGCCGGCATCCAATGCATCGGACCATACACCCTTTGGACAACGTTAAACGTCCAAGCTGTTCAATATACCTCGATACTCCATCCAGCCGGTTACCACCGCCACCAACAGGAAGGTGTGGATGGATTTCGTAGGCCTTTTTTGGTTGATTTGGAATCAGGGCTTTTAGTCAACCCTAGGTGACCTGCCAATGGTTCACCGACCTGGTTGTTGGCTTTTCATCCTCTCACTGTGGTGGGAAAACACCTCCGCTACGAGAAGGCAGTGAGCTTCCTCAGCAGAGACTGTCTGAGACGCTCGGTCGTATGGGGGCATTTCGAGAGGTGCAGAGAAAGAGCAACCAGAAACAACCTGAGACACCAAACCTGGTGTAAGTGACTGTCAACTCCGGAGTTACAAAGGACAGAAGCAAGTTTATGTTCGTCGACATAGCCGATGTTTCAAATCCACTATTCTGATTGCTTCGGAAATCAATAGAGTGCGAAACTTCGCTGTCTTTCAATAAATTGAAAAATACCGTTAATAAACTCGAGCAGACAGCCTAGTAGGATATTTCAATTGCCAGTGAAACGTTGCACTCAGAGAAAACCGCGATTATAAACAAATCAAGTAAATGCGAAATCAAACTGGGCGTTGATTTAAGCTGATGATGGTTAGAATCTCTCCCCACTGTCCAGGAACTTTCACTGTATATCACTCAACGGGCGCTGGTGGCCCGGTGGTAAGGTTACCAAATTATTATCCCGGGGGACCTGTGTTCGAATCCCACCACCACCGCCTGACTTTCCCCATTATGTGTAGTACGACAGTCCTTTGATTGGCCGTTTTCCCCATCCTGAAAATTGTATCTTTGTGTATTCAATAAGAGGAAGTAAAAATGAAAAAGAAAAACAGTGAATTATCCCTATGGGCATTAAGTAGTTTATTACTGTGTCTGTTTGGGATCCAATGAACGGCCTCCATAACCGACTGACTGGTTTTCATAATCCGACAATCTAGTATGTTTGCTATCTATTTTACTGTGCATTGTTCAAGAAACCAAAATTGTCCTGGTAGGAAAAGCATCAGATAGCACACTTACACGAACCAGTGTGAGGCATCGACTGATAACCGCCGTAACCACAAACGGGACAGGCAGGAGGGGACGGACCAGTGAACCCGGATGCATCCGCAGAGGGGGTCGAGCTGAAAGCAAATATGTGGATCCGAAGGTGTATGGTGTTGTGGACAATGACCAATAGCCAGAAAAAAATGATGAATCAGGATGCCAATGAGCTTTTACAATATTAGCAACGGAAAGACAGCCCGTACAGGCGTTCATTACGGATTTCGTCCAGGCACAAACAAAACAAACAAAATATCACGATAATCCATCCCAGGAATATAGAAAACCGCGCCTTAGTTTGTCATTCCGAATCCCTGGGCTATGGTTAGTAGTAGCTTTCACAACGGGGCAACCTTGGAACTCGCACCCTGTTGCGGAAGACATTAATGAAAAACCAGGCAAAGGGTGTGCTTCCCTTCTCTCGTACACAATTGGATCACCTTTCATATTGCCTCTGAAAGCTTCTGTGTTCTCGAGGGTGGGTATCTTGAGTTGAATTTTATTGCATGACCTATGTGATAACCAGTGTGCATATCAAAACACTCAAAACACCATTCACTGCCAGAATGGGCGAGAATACTCTCTCGCCTCTAGCCCTAATGGAGCGGATCGCATCAGGTATCTGCTGTCAAAGTCCTGAACGCTCTTTTTTTAGAGGCGATAGTAGTTTTTTTTTAACTGAGAGGGCGAAAAGCCACCGGGTCGATGAATCACGGACAGCTAGCTCGCTGGAAATTAATGATTCGAGACCAAAAAGAAGAGTATATATTAACTGGCTCAAGCACATTCTGTTCGTGACGGTCATCGGCTCGATTGGATGTCCTGAACTACCCGAACATGTAGTCAAACGGATTGGAAACCGGTCCACAAAGGACTGTGGTTTTTACACACCGCCAGGCTATTTTCGGTGTTGCTTTTTGGCTAACCGAAGGTTACCGTTGTCTACTCGCAGAAGATTGACCTATTTTAGTTTCCTAAAGAGAGCAGAATTTCGTGTATGGACCTATGGACTGATATCTTCGTTATAAAGGTTGTACTGTTTTCTATTTTATCACACAGTGCGAACCCAAATAAAGGTGAAATGTAATCACAATATTTAGTTTCACTTTCAGTTTGAACAACCATTAACCATGCTCTATCCTGCACCGGTTTTGGTTGCTATCTTTTGGCTGCCCACTTGGATGAATAACAGGAGAAAGGAAAGTTGAAGGTAGAGTCGAACAGAAAGGTAGCGCAGCTTTCGCCTATCTCCGACACCTGGGGCGCCACCATGACATCCGACTATCCCTTACGGGAAGTGTACAACACCGCAGTTCTTAACGTTTTGCTCTACAGTTACGAAATCTGGCCTATCCGAGAGGAGGATGCTAATCGACTTCCTGTATTTGACCACCGATATCTCCGAAGCATTGCTCGTGTCTGGTGGGAACATCGGGTGAGCAATAAGGAGGTCCGTCGCCGTGTGTTGTGTGCGGATAGCGGTTCTCTAACAGAAGTGATTGCTCTACGTCGCCTCTGATGGCTTGGCTACGTATTGCATATGCCTCCCAATCAACTAGCTTTCCGTGCTCTATTCGCACGTGCGGGAAAGGCTGAAAGAAACGAAGCAGCGGTCAAACTACGACATGGTGTAGAGGCATGAAGAAGCTCGCTTCAGCTCTGTCTTCAATTGGTGCAGCTCGAATTCCAGGTTGGGGCCCAAGGAATGAGGATTGTCGGTGGTTAGAGACGCTGAAAGATATGGCCCAGGATAGAAGTCAGTGGCGCGAGTCCTGTACGGTTTGCCTGTCGAAATCCCGTGTCCCATAAAAAAGACAAATTAACACACAAAATATTTCAAAAAGTGTGTGCTTGTCCGCAAGTCGGCGTTACATACATACATATATATATACCCATCGCCTAACGTAAATCGGTATGATTCCTATTGACACCATTCAGCTGAAACTTCCATTATGAAAAAGTGATGGGGACAGCCAGTCGGGGTCGGAGGCCTTATGCCGTTTGAGATAACTTATTCCTCGAGATACCTCCATTTCAGACGGAGGACTAGCATCAACTGGATAGTCAAGGAGGAGGATGTAACATTCCGATATCGATAGCGGCCAGTTCAAAGGAGCCATGAAGTGTTCAGCCCATCGATCAAGATGGCGTTGCTGACCGTGTATCAGTGTGTCAGCAGAATCCTTAATCACCTCACTTACATCTATTTTCTTGAGGCTACCATTCCGGAAAAGAAAGAAAAGACTATTACGAATAACCACAGCCTTCTTCATCTCTCTACACTTCTCTACCTACCACTTCTGGCAGTCATTCCTCAAACTCTTGATGAGCTGGCGTTTAAGGGATTTGCGCGCTGTGTCGTATGTGGCATCCGGAGGAAGGGTTCTCCGGGCGTCCAGCAGGGCAGTCGGAGTCCACGAGAAGCATCGTTTCGGTTTGAAGCTTGAGCCAGGGTTCGACGTTGTTTTTATCGACATTTGCATAGCTTCCTGGATTTGCTTCCATTATTCATCGAGTCCCTCGGCTGGCGGTTGAACTGACAGGCGATCGGAGAGCTCCGCTTCGAAGGTCGATTTGCAGCCACCGCGGACGATGTATCGCGGATATCCGTTGTCTGTGGCTTTTCTGCGGTTGTTTGTCAGGTGTAGGGAGAATTTGGCGCGTAACAAGGCGTGGTCTGATTTCCGAAAATTATCAAGTGTGTCAGTTAGTTTCGATGACTACACATTAAAGGTCACTATTATTGCAGGTTACCAGTGATTATATTGATGATAGAGAGACACCGTCTCCTCCAGAAACTGATGGAAATACTTTGACAAAAACGTCACGTGCGCAAACAGGCAAGGTGATAAGCTCCAAGCAAATTGATAGCACCTACTCACCATGACTGAAGGAAATTGGTCACCTGGGGCTGAGTGGAAAAAAGATGATGAAGTTAGTCATGTCAAAAGGAAAACCAACTACACAAGCGCATACCTTTAACCTTCTTATTTTATCTTGAATTTCTTCTTTTTCCTTTTCCGTTCGTTCTTTGTCTGAAGGTGAAACGATGCACAAACATTGAAAAGCCTTCTTACCAGGATTTTGAGCCACAAACAAAGTGGCGAGAGCGTCCAGTTGATGATTTTTCCCGTAACCTTGAACCTGCACACGACACTGATGAGAAAGAGAGGGGAGCACAAGACAAAGCATTTTTTTCTCATCTGGTAAATGATCAGAATCGGATAGAGGAAAATCAGGACAAACAGATCACCACCACCACAACAACAACGACGAAGAGGTATCAGAGGTAATTGTACATGAGTTCGCATCAACATCACCGCTTCTTGCACTTCTCCCCTGGAGACTGTTTATTTTGTTACAGGTCAAGCATGATGTACGACCAAGCGGTGAAGCACATAGTTATAAAGATTATTGTGCAATCGAGGTGCATCAACTATTTTCCGAAAAAACTCGCTATTTTGCATTCTAAAAGCTGAAATTTATAACAGCGAGGAAAAAGAAAATAAGAAGGGTTATTCCACTCTTTCAGTGTACTTAAACAAGGATAGTAAATACGCCATCGTTCGACAGGCTGGTAGAGACATTTAGCAAGGAAAATGAACGCTTATGGCCAGGACAACTGTAAGTGAGGAAAGGACCACAGCGACAAGCTCCGAAGATTGGAACCTGTGGTTATAACGGTGAAAATGGGATCGGGAGAGGTCACAGTGATGAGTAACTGGTTGAAAAGTAAATGTTGAAGACAGATCACCATTAAGGTGTTTTTCCTCTAAACACGGTCCAAAATTTATTGACAAAAAGACGGAGCCGGATGACTACTTTATTCTGTTCCGTTTCACCGAGGTAGGAAAACATATGCCAGCAGCATTGATATCGGCCACATACTTCTCATTGTGTTGATGAGATACTACTTTCAGGATGGAGCTCCTCAAAGAGTGAATTCAGAAAAAGATAAATACCTGATTAGCGCGGTAAACACAAAAATCCTTCCCAGACGCACGCAATACAAGGAAATTTAGAAAAGGGAAACCTAAAAGAAGTGAAGAATACAAAACTGTTGATTGGAAAGACTCCCAAAAAAAACACACGTTGAGGAATGGAATAAGATCGGGGTTGTGAATACGTCTTTGGCACGAAACAACATTGGTTACTTTTAAAAGATGAGTTCCTGTTGTTGCTGTTTATGATTTGCTGGATATCCTGTAAGTGCGTACTTATTCCTTCCATACGCTCAGAGACGATAACTGGGGGCTTAGCTAGACACAGATTATCCAGTGTTCTTCCCACCAATCACGATGAGACAGCACCTTGGCGTGGTGTGATGGCTTGAGTGCTTCCATGAATCTACGAGCCATACAGAATGGCTTTACACAGCAGTAGATTCAATCATACCTCAGAGGTCAGTGAGCAGAGACCAGACAAATCTCAGTCTTACAAGGACAGCTGCTTGGGCACCTCGCTTCCTTCTATCCACACCCGCCCGCGGAGAGGCCACTCCAGCAAACAAACACGGTGATGGGCAGTTTACTG